GTAGTTTATGAGTTATAAGTATTTAAACTTTAAAGTCTAGACAAGCGGAGTGGAGTGGTTCGGGGTTACCCCGCGAAATGTTTGTCCACTTCACCGCTTGTCTAAACTTTAAATACTTATAACTCATAAACTACTCGCCCCAAATTCAATTTTCATGTATCAAAATACTAAGAAAAATATTCTACCTTAGAATATAAAATTAAAACCCTATGTTGTCATTCAAAAAAGTAAAAAACTTAAAAAATTATAAGGATAAAAAATAATTAAAAATATAGTTTTTTAATAAAAACGTTGTTTTATAAGCGACTTGAAACTATGTAAAAAAATATCTTCAAAAAAATTTACACTTTTTGAAACAATGAGTGTTGTTTGATAAAAGAATCACCCAGTATAGTAATACTAGTACAATATACATTTGATTAATTAAAACTGTTTAAGAAAGTGAAAAATATGTAAAAATAAAATATAACAAAATGTAAATATATAAAGAAGAAAACATTTTATATATTTTACAAATAGTTTTCAAGCATCTTTTTTGTTTCTGAATGCAGCACCAGCTATATAAACTTTAATAGGAGCTTCGATTTCTGCATCTATAGCATTTTGAAAATGTTTGGTCTTTCTTACAGCTTCTAAAAAATAAAATCAATTGTGGATCTATAGTTCAAAGATAATTTAATATAATATAATATATATATACATATTATATATAATTTATATTCAAGTATTTAAATGTTTTATCAATACATTAATTTATATATATATATATATATATATAATATATTTGTGCTTACCAAATATTACTGTACATGTTTTCAAAGAAGAAAATATTTTTATTTTTTTTCTGGCCCACATAGCTATATTCTTTAAGTAACTCATCATCAAATAATTTCCTTAATATTTGGCGTACTGTTGAAGTTAATGTTTTTCTCGTTAATCGTTTAAGACTATTAACCTGAAATAAAAATATTTGATAAGAAGTCGTGTAATTTAATATGAAATACTTTAAAATTTTAAGAACATACAACACTTGTCTTAAAATTTTTGTCAAAAAGTTTAGTTTCAAATTCATTTAGTTCTTCTTCACTGGAAATAGGAAGTAAAGTATCACAATCTTCTTGATTAGACATGTTTATAATCTGTTCATTATTACTTGTTGCACTATTTTGTAATTTTGAAACCATCTCAGAAATGCTTTCGTAAAATATGAAAACACTTTTAAATATGATTGAACAACGTAAAATTCTAAGCCCTATGTTTAATGATAGTGATTTTGATATTAATATAACTACACTTTTAAATAATTTAATTGAACAAGAACAAGGTATAGGGAAACTCCAAACATTTCGAATGATCGATGATGAATTACATGAAGTATATGATTCGAATAATAATAATAATAATATGCAGCTAAAATGATTATTTTTTTAACATCCGGTATTGAATAGCTTATCTACTGACTATACAGCGTGAGTATATTATAGTATACAGTGTGATATAATTATACTAGCTTAATACTATTTAAATAGTGTTTATTATACTATTATCCATGCCCGAATGTTGTGGCGCAGTGGGGAGATGTTAGGCTTTGTATGCATACAGTTGTAGGTTCGATACTGGCTGGGTGGGATTTTATTTGTGGTATTTACAGCTCTACACACGACATGCGGCTTGTTCGACTATATTTTACTATAGTCGGTTTAAGAAGCTATGTGTGTAGTGGTAATTACAACGTCACACACATTCCATGTGGCTTGTTCGATTATATGTTGAGTATAGTCGGATTTAAGACACTAGTGTGACCTGTGATATCATAGCTAAGGTTCTCCTCACTGGTCCCTGGAGTCTACAAATAACGTCTCCTCATTGTGTTGTGATACGATGAAGGCTACATATTTCAGTAGCCCCCTGTTGTACAGATGTCAACAAAAAAATAAAAAAATAAAAAAAACCGATGTCTGTACAATGGGGGCTACTTTTGCAGATTTTTTCTATTTTTTTTTTTTTGATTTAAATTATTATTAACACGGTCGTATAATTTGACCTTGTTAAATATTACAAGTCCTATATTTCATTTAATATTTGATATTATCAAGTCGGAACAACACAGATATATTTTATATGCTTATCTACACTACATATTAAAAGTTTACCCCCCGCTTCATATTTTTCATTTAAGTATAACTCCGTTGCTATTTATGTTAGAATCTTTATTTTTACATAAAACATTTTTGATTTTAATTCTTTATAAGTCCCCATCGTAGTATCATAGTGTAAAATCGTTTTCAAAGATTTTTGGATTTTAATAACGCGTGTCCGAATGGGACACGCGTTAAATATTGAACATTTTTTAATAGAACAATTCTATTAAAAAATTAAATTAATAATATAGTTATATTCTAAGTTTTGCCATAGCAAAAGAACATATTTTAATATCTCCTAAAGTTTGCATTACACTAATATTATAGAGATATTTGAATGAATCTGGACTGTTTGTAATTATTTGATCATTAGCTATTTTACAAAGTTCTAACCAAGTTGGTGATTGTAGACATTTAGAAACAAAAGTTGGTTCTGATTGGTTCCCAATGATTAAAATTTTTCCTTTAATTGGAATTTCATTTAGATTATATTTTATTATTTTTTTATTATTTTCATAATATTCAAAAGCACAAAATTGCACATAACATTTTTTTATTTTTTTATTTAATATATAGTTTTCTACTTCGTTTTGCATTTCGATTTCTTGTAACTTATTATAATTTTTTATAGTTCCCATTCTTTTATTATAAATATCAATTCCTTTAACTAAGGTATTCAATTTCTTTAAAAATATTTTTTAATATACTATATTGCATTTCGATTTTAATTATTAATATCATAAGTATTATGAAAAATATTTTGGGGGTTTTGCATTTAATAAGTTTTACGAAAAATGTTTTTATTATTATTGCATTTCGATTTTTATTTTTAATAATTATGTTTTGGGAAAAATGTTTTTAATTATTATTGCATTTCAATTTTCTGATCTTTTTGCACATTGTTTTCTTTGTGATCTTTTACTGATATAATATGAGCTGGTCCAGGAATGGTATATATATACTACTAATACCTTCTGATTCCCTTAATGATGGTAAAAGATCTTCAGTTTTGTTGTGCATTTCTTTTACTTGACCTAGTGGGGGAAATATTAAATTAATTAAATGTGGTTTTAACAAAACATTTAATTGTAATAATGAATTTCTCACCAGAAGCAGTATCATACTGAGGAGACTGTAAATTAGAACCAATAGTAGTTGGTTTCTCAGAATAAGAAAAATCAATTATGTTATGTGTGTCCGTACATTGTATTTTTGATCTAATCGTAGCAGGACTGCAACTATTATATTTTGGAAGTTCATCTAATTATATTTAAAAAATATTGATTATGAAGGAAGAATATTATATTATAAATTTATGATTTATGTTAAAATAATCAATTACCAGCTTCATCAGAAGAACTTAAATCATAAAGTCGTCTTTTAACTCTTGAACTATTATGTTTTGGTAAGATAGATTGTTCGGAACTGATAGTTTTTATAGCAGTATTATACTTATGAAACATATTATTGTCATCTAAAATCAATGAATGAAAAAAATATTTAATTAGGATGTATATTTTAACAGCATTATATAAAATTACAGTAGGTGTAAAACAAACAAATTATTGCTCTTTAGTGAAACAACCAAATCTTTTGTGGATAACAGTAAATAGTAGATAGTAGGTAATATTGTAATAAATAAACATAATATAATTATAATTAATATTTACCATTATTAATATTTTTGGATGAATATATTGGTGGACCAGGAATTTTTGAAATTTTTTGAGTTCTTCTTAAAGTGTAACATTCTTCTGCTGTGGATAAATCAGATGTCTTTTCTGCTTTTTTAAGTTTTGTTCTTGCTTCTAGTAGTGTGCCTGTAAAAAAAAAATAATGCTACAACAAAATCAAAGGTAAATTTAACTTAAAAGCAAGTGTTGCATAAAAACATTATATTCTACATAATATTTTACATTTTATAAATAATAAAAACAGTTGACATAATTACCAATGTTTTTTTTCAACACCCTAGAAGGGTAAAAATTGAACTCAAAACTATTAGGTATTGTACGACGTTCGACATGTTTTTTAACATTTTTTTTAGGCCAAGCACATGTATTATTTTTTTGTATCCAATGACTGGGAATAGCTTCAACAGCGTTTTCTTCAGTAAAATTTACTATAGTCCACATTTCTACAGCAAAAATATGTTATGATTTAAAATTTTAAAAAGAATTTGATGTATAAGGTATTATTATTATGTGTAGTAGTCAATATACTTACACATTTTATATATATTTACATTGCATTATATCATATTATTTAATAACTTAATTATAAATAAAAAATAATGATTTAATTAAAAAAGTAGGTAGGTATAATAAGAAAATTTGCATCAATATTATTACTTAATAATAAATTATTTGTTGTATACAGGAAATTTATATAATTCATTATTGTTTAATTTTGATTACTTATGGTATTAATTTTAAATACAAGTATGTCTATAATAATAATAATATAATAATTATATGGTTATTATTGATTGAAGTTTAATAAAAGACAATTTTGAACTATATGTTAATAATATAACCTTTTTTTTTTTTTTTTTTTAAAAGAAATATACCATCTGTAGTCTGTACCCAGAGACACAATAAGGATATGGGCTAATTTACAAAAAGGCGTGAATGAGTTGTTGGAAGAAGCCACCCAGTAGTGACACTTCCTAATATAATATATCTTAAAAATATTTTCTGTTTTTTTCTTTTTAACATAATTTCTATAATATAACCTATAGTAAACATTTAATTTTTTATAAAAATAATAGTTAAAAATATAATGAATATTTGAAAAAATTAAAAAACTAAACTTAATGTATTAAAGGAACTGCAATAAGCTTATCACTGCAACAAAGAATCATAACTTTTTTTTTACATCTTTAATATCCCAGCATCTTAAGGTGTTTGACAATTGTTTTACAATATATATACCTAGACAAGATGAATTAATAGGTCTAGAATAAAAATCTTCTTGTTTCTCAAAGCGTTTTCCAATTAAGACAACATCACCTGTATCTTTTGAATGTGCAATATTCACAAGTTGTACATGTTCATTTTTTAAAGTACAAAAATATGAATCTCCAATGACATAACTTTTTATTTTATAATTTCCTAATGTCATGGACTTAAATTGTGGATTTATTGTATTTTTTAACAAGGGCCCTTTACTATGCTCTCCAAAAAATAATCCATCAGTTTCTTCTATTTTAGATTTTAAAAATTTGCCTTCATTGTACCTCATTATGACTTGTTCTAATGGCTTGTCGGGTTTTCTAAGCATACTTTTAATCACCTTCATATAATTTTCAAATGGAAATGTGCTACATTTGTCTAATGGACCATATTTATTGTAATCTTCCACTAAATGGAGTAACCCATGAATATTATGTGACATTAAATATTGACCATAGATTTGTTCAAACGTTTGAACAAAATAATCTAATAGTTGTTGAGCATAGTCTATTAATGAAGCATAATCAGGACTTAAAAGAATGATCATTGCAATATTAAGAGACATAAAATTATTAAAACAATTATCTGTTAATACACCTTTCAAAATAACTGGGCCTATATACAACAAAAATGTTCTAAGCTCAGTCGCTTTCCAGCGAAGTATATCTTCTAATCGCCTGGGTTTTCTAGAAAATTCACAAGCAAAACTTGGTTTCAAGTTCAATGATAAATTTGACATTTCTTTAATTTTCCATGAGGGTAACCTCACTGATAGTGGCCCCTTCATCCATAATAAAATCAATTTTTTTGTAACACCAAGACATACCAAGTGCATGTAATCAAGTGAAAAATTATGAACAATATCTAATCCAGGAATTTCAGTAACACATGAGTTAGTAATTGAGGCTAAGTGATGCCTATTTTGCGATCTTGCCAAATATCCAGTATGTGTTCTCTTGCTTGGTTGCCTATTAGGTTTACTATATGGAAAACATATTTTGTTTGATTTGTATTCATCTTCAATTTCACAACGCGAACAGGAAAAGAAACCATTATGAGATTTAATTCTCAAAATAAACGCTTTAGCTGGAGTATCTCAACAGAATACATCAATTTTGACTTTAAATAATTTATTTTCAATTAAAATCCCATTGGTAACTAAATGTTTTGTTTCATTGACAAAATCTTTTAAGAATTCATTGCTGTCAGAAGGTTTTTCTGTTCCAAAATATAATCCCACTGGAAAAACTATATTTGAAGTTGGTCTCATGTATGCTAATATAGGATAAAATTGATTTGAATTGCTTTTAGCAATAGGTAAGCCATCTATCCCTATAACAACTTTAATCTCGGTTTGTAAAGTATTTTCAGGTGATGAATGACGTAGGATACCAACCTCAAGACCAAAATGGTGGTATTTTCCAGGCTGTACATCTCAAATACTTTGTATTTGAGCTGGTTTAGTATGTAAAAGTGTCCTAGCATCTTTTGGTAAATGTAAAAAACATTTATGTTTTCTTAATAAATGTAATAGATTATTTACAGCAGTATGAGGAATTTTATGTAACAATGCCCATTGAGCAAGTTCTGAATCTATAGAATAATTGGTCATAAAGTGATTGGATACATTACTAGATGATGCACTATCAGATTCATTATGCAATTGAACTTCATCTATAATATAATTATGATCCTCAAAATCATGGTATTCCAATTCTAAATTATTATCTTCCATATCAGTAGTTAAAGTATTTAAGAGAGTATTTAAAGTATTTACTTCCTGATGAATACTTAAGTCAGGGCAATTATCATTATCTACTACAGAAATTTCGTTAATGGAGTAGGCATCAGAATCATTGATCGAACCAAAATTGTAAGTATCTAGTTCTTCTCTCATCCTCCTTCTCTGTGTGCGATGACTCGCTGATCTTATATTATTATATTATATTATATTATACTAGATTCTGGCGTTTGTCATCCCGCCTGTGGCTGAAAGACTGTGTGGGCGGTGGTGCATCTTTGTCGACGATGCTGGGTTTTTTGATCCGGCCTGCGGCGGGAAGAGGGGGTCGTCGGGTATTGTGTTTTGTCGTGTTGGCAGCACTGGTTAAGCGGTAATTTTTGAGCTCGGAAGAGTGTCTAGTCGTAAGTCACGCGATTCAAGTCGATCGTAAGCCACAGCCAGCCAGGTAGGCAAGGCATCGCAGACCATGCACCGGGCGTGTATGTCCGGTTCTCGTATGTGTGTTGAAATCGGAAATTCGGGTTCTGAGTTTGAGTGTCTAGCTATCGCCTATCAGTCATTTCGGGTGAAAGTCGATTCCCGAACGGACAATCCGCCTACAGCGAAAAGTGCTCGAAACGGCCGTTCAAATCTGATATACCTACCATGTATATTTATTTAATTATGAGAATTAAATCAAATTAACAAATAGATAATTATATTGGTGAATAACAAATTTTATTGAAATGTAATACTATCATATTAAACGTAGGTATATATAAATGAATACACTATACAATTTTTTGGCACTTATCTTCGTAAGTACCTACTATCATAATATTTTGCTGTTATATTGTATGTCTGTATATAATATATGATGTACCTACCTACCAATTTATTAAATGTCATATGATGTTTTAAATTATTTAGTAATTATAATTGCATAATTATAATGGTGCATTACTGTGTTATGACTTATGTATTATGTGTATGAAAGTGTGTATGAAGAAATCGAACTTTTTGTCGCATATTTTCATTTCCGTATAAAGTAATAACAACACTGTCCGCTCCCCGATCTCCTCCGCGGAACACGACTCGAGCGAAGTACTGACGACGGCGGCTTATAAATTTAGCGGGGAATGCCAATAACATCCAAACAGGCAGGGTAAAACCACCAAAACGGGCCAAGAAACGAATTTTAGAAAAAAACAGCAAAAAACGACGCGACGCATGTATTTATTGCTGTATATAGCGATACTTACACGGTACCTACTCCCTTTTCCGCGACGGCCGCTCTTTCCCGGGAGCGTATTAGGAAACCCAGGACGCCACAGAGCGCCTTATGTATACCACGTTCTCATTGGCCCATTTCAAATTTCCCGCTTTTTTTTTATCATTTATCAAATAATTTAATTTAATAATATAATATTAATTTAAATATTATATTATATTATTTAATTTAAACAAATTCAAATAACTATTTAGTAGGAATAGATACCTAACTAATATTAAACAATATTATTATTACACAGTTATTTTTATTTTTTACTTTAGTAGGTACCTATACCTACCTCAGAGTGAACATTTCTTACTGGACTAAGTGTATTGTACTTGTACACACCTTTTGTGTTAGCTAAAAAGATTGTCTAGGTTCTTCCTAACATAGAAACAAAATACCAATCTTACTTAAATGTTTTATTTTTACTAAAACATAAGATTCTTAATTAAAATAGGTAGGTACCTTACTAAAAGTTCATGCTCTAACATTAATATATGTATTGTATTTTTAATAAAGACATAACTATTTTTAGAGGAACGAATTGAACTAGTGTTCAATGATTATTTTAATAATATATGGAATGGTAGCTACTGAAGCTAACTGTTTAAAAATCCAATTAAAGAAATAGTTTTAACTTCACATGAATGGGGCAAAAACAATTTTGGACGTCAAGTTTGGTAGTCTAGTTCATCGATGATTGAAAAGCCCTGTTATTATTTTCAATTTTATACTTGTAGGTACACTACATTACTACTTACATCAGCAGTGGTTTATAAATAATATTTTTTTACACATTTATAATTAAACTAATTCAACCTTTTTAAAATGTTATGCAAGTATTAAGTAAACAAATATTAAGGTAGGTAAAAAATAATACATACATGTCTACCTACATAGTCAGAGGTAGGTAGGGGTTACACGATCATTGAAAATATATAAATATTAGACAAAAAAAATAAATAATTTACAAACATTTAAAACTGTGAACATATTTTAAAGTATTTTTTTTTACTATGATGACCACCTCGCATGTTAAATTTCTGTCAGTTGGGCTCTGAATGTGATTTAATTGTCCTGAATGTACAACATGACTCCCTAAATAACAACAATTTACTAACAAAATTCAAAAATTTGACCTACCCGATAATACTTTATAGGTGTTACAAGTTCCTATATAGATTATAATGACAATTATTATAAAATATACCATTCAATTTTATTATAATTTGATAAGGTAACAATTTTGAACTCAGATTTACCAATTTTTTTAGCAAACAATTAAACAATTTGTTATTATATTACATTAAATTTTGTTTATTTTATGATGTAGGGAAGTTTAAGAAAAAAAAATAATTATGATGTAAATATGATGTAGGGAAGTTTATCTTCTACATCTACTAAGTTTATTATAAATTATAATCTAAATATATCAAACTGATAACAGTATACCTAGTCACAAATAATAATATGATTTAATGTAATTCCAGTATAAACTTCATAATGAAGTCATAAAATATTAATTTGAATGAAAAAAACTATGTAAAACAATGAAAAATACATGTTTTATGTTCAGTGACCTCTACCATGGGATTTTGCATTTGATTGTCCTAAATTAATGTTTTTTCATATTTAACATATTTTAAAGTATTTTTTTTTACTATGATTACCATGCGAGGCGCATGTTAAATTTCTGTCTATGCACAGTATTTAGAGGTGAAAAAGCTGGAAAACAATCGCTGCAGGTACCACATGGCACATCAGTTGAGCTCTGAATATACAACATGACTTCTTAAATATTAAAAATTTAAACAGAAGTTTATCTTATTTACATCTTGGTACCTACTTCGTTTATTATTTATTAATTAATTGATGTAGCCACTAAAATATATGTAGATATAGCTCCTAAATTATAATCTAAATATACCAAACTGATAACAGTATAGTCACATTGTTTATTTATTGACTACCAGACTACCTACCAGCTATTATTAATTTGTCAACAGAAATATTAAATTGATTTTTGACTTGCTGTCATGTTTAAACTTTAATTGTACATCTCTGTTATAGTTGTACTTTTAATTTTAAGTTGTTAGTGTTTAAAGCATCTTAGCATTTTCATTAGTTAGGTATTTTTAAGCTCTGGTTGTTTGGGTATTTAACTTGTTGGTAGTAGTTCTCTGTTTCTGCATTTCTGAATAATCAATTATATTGTATTCATAATGGAAGAATTCATTGAGTTCTTAAAAAATAATAATATCATTGCGGTTCTATCAAATGAAGTTTCTAATATAAATGAAAAGGCCTCGATTCTTAGAGCCAACATTAATAATGTTAATGAAGTTGAGAATTTCGTAATGCTTTACCAAGAATTTACTAAAACTAATTGGATTCGTGTTGGTCAGCTTAACAATCCATCAAGGTAAGTAAAAATAGTTCTCATTATTTGATTAATATTAATGTATAAGACATTTTTTTTTTCAGAGTAATGTTTCATAAATATTGGGTATGCCAGCACAGTAAGTTGAACAAAGTAAAATGTAATGAAACAATTAGAAACACATTCTGTGATGCAAAATTTGACATACTAATAAAAAAAAACAACCGTAACACCAGAAAAAATGATACATTTTTGTTAAGAGACCCCCCTCTTTGTGCTAAAATATCCATGAATGAAAGTCATAATCATTCAGTCAATACAAGTGGTTCAATGAAATTTTTACGGATATCACCTGAGGTAATAGTTTATTTTATTAAATTAGTAGGTATGTTTAATACCTATGTGTTTGTCAATCAATACATGTAGTTAGTAGATATAGTAAAGCTGTCAAGGTGTACATTAGGTGGTTATACTAATATACTATATATCAATGCATAGAATTATAGCAGTATTGCAGTAACCTATTAACTATTGTTTTAGAATTTTAAATTGAGAAATTGTTTTATTTTAAGTACACAATTACATAGGCACATATTGAAAAGGTTAAATCATTATATTTTTTTTAAATATTATTTTTAATAACACATTTTCATCATAATATACATATTAGGTATATTAATAATTCAAAATATATGTTTAATTAAATAATTATGATTATTATTTAAAGGTGGAGCAAGTGTTTAATATGTATTTTGAGGATGGAATGGGTGCTGCTGAAGCGATACGCTTACATGAAAGCAAAATATTATTGAATGAAAATTGTTAGGAGACTTTAGCAAATGGTTCAAAAAACCCAAATAAAGAAACTGTGGCATATTTACACAAAAAATGGCGAAAAAATAATTTTGGTTGTGTAAATAACCCATTAGAAAAATTAAAAGAAAAGACTCAATCATATGCTGAAAAAGGTAAAATATTTGTTGATGCTATAGGTAAATTGAATTATTTTAAAATATTAGTATTAACTAATACTCTGGTGAGATTTGACTATACCATTTAAATTTGATTTTTTTTATAGGTAGGTAGGTACTAAATTAGAATGTTTTTTTATTTTTAGGTATTTCAATAATAATACATGAAGAAAAACCATGGGCAGTCTTGGTAGTTACTCCTCTCATGAAAAGAGTCCAGCATTTGTCATCCTCCAAAGAATTAATTTTTTGTGATTGCACAAGTAGCTGTGATACCATGGAGACTACTCTTACAACTGTACTTGCAGTGTCAAATGCTGGAGCAGTTCCCATAGCAATGATTATGCATGAGGGCCAATCAAGTGATAGCTATAAAAATGCTTTTGGGCTTCTGAAAAAGCATTACCCATTATGCTTTGGTGGTAATGAGGTACTGTATATAAACAAATATTTATTTTTATTACATTTTTTATTGAAATATTATATTAATTTAAAAATCAATCTTTTAAATGTGTCTAAAAATATTGTTAAAGTTTTTAGTTATTCATATTATAGGTACCTATTGGCTTTATGACCGATGACTCTGCTGCAGAACGATCAGCATTAAAGACACTTTGGCCATCATCTAGATTACTCCTGTGTTCATTTCATGTACTACAAAAAGAATGGGGTTGGCTACATGAAACTAAAAATATGGTGTTGAAGGAGAAACGTTTGCCTTTAATGCGGATGTTCCAAACAGTAAGTAATTACTAATTAATTGGCATATCGTATATATTTTAACTATAATTGATTTATTTATTTATTGCCATTTAAAAAATTGACACAAAAATAGTAAAAACATTTGAATTAATAATTAAAATTGTAAATAGTATACAACCCATTCAAATTCCCATGCATACAATTTTAAATTTTCTAATAAATACCTAGTTGATAAATACATTCATAAATATATATTCTCCGGGAAGTATGGACTTATAAGTTATAACTTAAATTATTTATTTTAGGTAGTGTATGCTGCAGATGAAGTCAATTTGAATGAAGCTACTTCCAATATTTTGAACTTAAAGGATGAATTTCCTAATTTTGTTAAACGCTTTGAAAGTTATTTCAAGAGAAAAAATGAGTGGGTTTTAATGTTTAGACGTGATATTATAACCAGAGGAAACAATACTAACAACTATGCTGAAGCATGCATACGAATATTGAAAGAAATTATATTAAACAGAACTAAGGCATATAATGTAGTGGCTCTAGTTGAATTCATTTGTTATGTGTGGGAAGACTATTTAATTCTTAGAATACTAGATCATGCACATAATCGCCGGGATAATATTCAACGAAATTATACTAAACTTTGTTCTCGAACATCAAATTTTAATATTGATCAAGTAACTAAAATAAGTGAAACATGTTATTCTGTGCCAAGTTCTGATACTGAGAATTCTGCAGTTTATACTATAGATATTCAAATTGGTGTTTGCGATTGTTATGTCGGATTTACTGGTGCATTTTGCAAACACCAAGCCTTTTTACACAAACATTTCAATTTATCTCTACCTAATGCACCACCTATAACTGTCACTGAAAGATATGCACTTGGGCAACTTGCTCTTGGTGACAAGTGCCCTTCTCAGTCATGGTTCCTGGGTTTAAAAGAAAATGAAAGTGGTATTTAATTTCAAGAAGAATTTGAACATAGTAACATTGATTATGTGGCCCATGCTAGTAATCAAATTGAGTCCTTTCCTAGATCTGAAGACATCTCAAATAAAAATCACACCAATATCCTTCAATCATTTATAGCTGATGATAAAGTTGCAAATAACAAGGTAAATGATGAACTTGAAAAAGAGTTTTTAAGATTCAAAGAGTTTTTAAATGATGTGCCATTAGATATTCGTCAAAAATTAACAAAAAACCTAAATGTGATAAAAAATGCACAACAATTGACAAAATTAATGGTGACATGTAGCCGAGGACTAAGTGTGGCAACTAAAAGAAAGAGACAAATAAAGGTTCAACCAACTTCAATTTCTCGTCGAAGACAAGGTGTAACTCGTGGCTCTCGAAGAATTCCAGCTGGTAGACCTCCAAAATCAGTACCTCAAAATAAAGTCGCCAAAAAAAAACACAACATTGGAAAAAACATTAGTTTAGGACAATCAAATGCAAAATCCCATGGTAGAGGTCACTGATAATATGTATATTATGATGAAAATGTGTTATTAAAAATAATATTTAAAAAAAATATAATGATTTAACCTTTTCAATATGTGCCTATGTAATTGTGTACTTAAAATAAAACAATTTTTCAATTTAAAATTCTAAAACAATAGTTAATAGGTTACTGCTATAATTCTATGCATTGATATATAGTATATTAGTATAACCACCTAATGTATACCTTGACAGCTTTACTATATCTACTAATTACATGTATTGATGTACAAGCACATTATTAAACATACCTACTAATTTAATAAAATAAACTATTACCTCAGGTGTTATCCGTAAAAATTTCATTGAACCACTTGTATTGACTGAATGATTATGAATTTCATTCATGGATATTTTAGCACAACGAGGGGGGTCTCTTAACAAAAATGTATCATTTTTTCTGGTGTTACGGTTGTTTTATTTTATTAGTATGTCAAATTTTGCAGTTTTAAATGTTTGTAAATAAATCACATTCAGAGCCCAACTGACAGAAATTTAACACGCGAGGTGGTCATCATAGTAAAAAAAAATACTTTAAAATATGTTCACAGTTTTAAATGTTTGTAAATTATTTATTTTTTTTGTCTAATATTTATATATTTTCAATGATCGTGTAACCCCTACCTACCTCTGACTATGTAGGTAGACATGTATGTATTATTTTTTACCTACCTTAATATTTGTTTACTTAATACTTGCATAACATTTTAAAAAGGTTGAATTAGTTTAATTATAAATGTGTAAAAAAATATTATTTATAAACCACTGCTGATGTAAGTAGTAATGTAGTGTACCTACAAGTATAAAATTGAAAATAATAACAGGGCTTTTCAATCATCGATGAACTAGACTACCAAACTTGACGTCCAAAATTGTTTTTGCCCCATTCATGTGAAGTTAAAACTATTTCTTTAATTGGATTTTTAAACAGTTAGCTTCAGTAGCTACCATTCCATATATTATTAAAATAATCATTGAACACTAGTTCAATTCGTTCCTCTAAAAATAGTTATGTCTTTATTAAAAATACAATACATATATTAATGTTAGAGCATGAACTTTTAGTAAGGTACCTACCTATTTTAATTAAGAATCTTATGTTTTAGTAAAAATAAAACATTTAAGTAAGATTGGTATTTTGTTTCTATGTTAGGAAGAACCTAGACAATCTTTTTAGCTAACACAAAAGGTGTGTACAAGTACAATACACTTAGTCCAGTAAGAAATGTTCACTCTGAGGTAGGTATAGGTACCTACTAAAGTAAAAAATAAAAATAACTGTGTAATAATAATATTGTTTAATATTAGTTAGGTATCTATTCCTACTAAATAGTTATTTGAATTTGTTTAAATTAAATAATCTAGTCCTAATATATAAAATGACAAGGAAATCAGCTGTCTATAGTGTACCAATGGAAAGGAAAACGCCGGCTATAGCGAACCCATGGCGTAAAAAATGAAGCACTGCTCCGTTTCCCCAGCCCGCCGGCCATGTCCCGTCGATTCCTTATAGCGCAACCAATCGCGTACCTTCGCAGTGGCGGCGGTCGGTTTTAAAACGTTTTTCGTTATCACCTCTTTTCCTATCATTTCTTAAAATTAGCTGTTTTTACACGATATCTTTTCGCCCTTTTATATACTTAATTCGAAGCCACCGGTGTGCGGTTTATATTCGTGCAATGTCGATCAATAAATACACTCCCGACCGGACTTTTTTGCCGATATTTTCTTTTTCTCCCACCGTTTCGTCTATTCGCACCCGTTTGTGCCCGAATCGAGTCTTTTTGAAGCCGTTTATATGCGCTTTTCCCCCAAAATCGGTTCGTTCGCCTCGCAATCGCGTTTGGAAATTACGCCGGCGACCGACCGGCCGTACGCGTATATATACATGTATATACGTGTATAATTAAATTTTTCCTTATAATTTAATAATTATTAACGGAAAACGCTTTCACACGCCCCGTTAAATATATATATGGGAGATGCGCGTATTACAAGCGAATTATATGCGATTACAACGATGTACATCGAATATATCGATTTACGTCGCTCCGTAGTCGCACGGCTTAATTGTTGATGTTTTCACTATATCTCATATCTCAAACTGTGTCCGAGTAGGTTAGGCGTTAGGTAGGAAACACGTAGGTCCCGGGTTCGTATCCGTCGTACGCCGTCCGGGCATTGTAATCGTTAATGCCATATGGTTTACACGGCCGCCCGAAACCCGATTTTTTTTGCATTTTTTTTTCACGTTATTTTTCATATAAATTAAATAATATATAATATAATAATACAGGAACATATCGTACATTATTATTATTTAAAGTCATTATCATTTTATATCACACAATAAATAGATACATATTATATTTGTTTTATTAGGAATTATTATAATTGCATATTTTTTAAAATTTCCATGATTGTTATATAAATATAGTTTGTATTTTATTTCGGTTTGCCTATCTAGGTGGCTAACTTGAAAGTTAATCTTGATTTTGACTTGAGAGTTGAGATGACTGACTTGCTAGACACTCCAACACGGTTTTAGACTTTACACTTTTTACATAAGAAAAGGCACCGGACATGCGAAGGCACATACCACTCTATGTGATATACCTATTATATATAGGTGATAGACGGATTGCTCATTTTAGTTTCGCCTTAAACGGTGATGATTGACTTGATAGACACTTTAACAAATAACATGCAGGTTTTTGCAATTTTTTTTAAAATTAATATATATACACTATAGGTACATGTTTATATGTATTGGTTAATATAATAGTATGTATCTAACTATCTACCTATATGTTAATATTTTTTAGGAATTATAATTGCACATTTCTCAAAATGTTCATTGTTATATTATATCACACAATAAATACATATCATATTTGTTTGTATGTATAAAGTTTGAATTGTTCGTAAATTATTTCGTAAGTTGTGTGATAGGGTTTTCCCTTATAGCCGCTTGATGTCGGGTCTGCAATCCACCGCAGGTGGATTGCCTACCTGATTTGCTGTAGCACATAGTCCGCGATCCGACGAAGTCGGATTGCCTACCTAAGTGGCTAACTTGAAAGTTAATAGATTTTGACTTGAGATGACTGACTTGCTAGAAACTCCAACACGGTTTTCGACTTTACACTTTTTACATAAGATAAAGCACCGGTCATGCTACGGCACATACCACTCTATGTGCAGGTATACTCTATATAGGTTATCCTGGAGATCGTATCCAGCCTATCCATTTACAACGTTTGTGACGGATTGCTAGACACTCAAACTTTTAACATTCCCGCCAAAGCGTCTAGCCTTATCTCCAATCCATATCACTAATCCTTATCACAAATCCTAAACTTTCGTCTTACAACCTTTGCGACTTTTATAATTTATTGTCTCCAAAATCGGTACCCACTCTCAGCGATTCCAACGGGCCCCGAGTTATACTTAGAGCTAGTATAATATAATATTTAAATTAATATTATATTATTAAATTAAATTATTTGATAAATGATAAAAAAAAAGCGGGAAATTTGAAATGGGCCAATGAGAACGTGGTATACATGAGGCGCTCTGTGGCGTCCTGGGTTTCCTAATACGCTTCCCGGGACTCGTCTGTGAAAAAGTAGGGCCGCGCACCGGCTATAAATTTAGCGGGGAACGCGAATAAGATTCAAACGGGGAGGGTAATACGACCAAGAGGAGCTCCTTTCAAAAACTCAAATTTTTGAAAAAAAAAGAAAAAAAAGAAAAAAAAAAAAAAGAAATCGAACTCTTCGTCGCATAATATATTCACGCCCATGTATAGTAATAAAGACACTGTCCGCTCTGCTAAATCATTTGACGGAGAACGCGAGTAAGTCTTCAACGGGGAGGTCCGAAGTCAGTAGAGGCGTTAAAACTCGAATTTTGAAAAAAATCGGAACATTTACGTTAAAAATGATAAGACGGAAGTGATAGCGAACGACGAAAAAAAAAAACGCGAAAAAAAAAATTAATTTATCACGGCCGCCGCAAATTATCGTATATTCCCGGGGGCCGGGGGGTTTGAACCCACGACCCTCGAGTCACCTGTTCTAACGCCTAACCTACCTAACTACCTACTGAGATGAAAACCTGAGTCAAATCTATGACTCTTAAGCCGCGTTGCCGTCCCCGCGAAAGGCGAACGCCGTTTAGAAGAGGTTCAAAGGGAGTTTGAGCGGGCGAGCGGACGACCGTCGCGAGATTCGCGAAGAAAATCGAACCTCGAGACGCATGTATTTATGCCTGTATATAGCGATACCATACACGGTACCTACTCTCGTTTAAGCGACGCCGCTCCTCGCCGGGACTCGTTTTTGAAAAAATAGGGCCGCGCGCCGGTTATAAATTTAGCGGGGAACGCGAATAAGATCCAAACGGGGAGGGCGATACGACCGAAAGGGGATAAAACTCGATTTTTTTAAAAAAATACGGCAAAAAACACGCGCGACGGCGGCGCTCGTATCGCACGCGATATCTGCCGCCGCGGGCCGGCCGGGAATTAAGTAGGACAGCGCGCCGTCTATAAATTTACCGAGGAACGCGAATAAGGTCCAAACGGGCCCTCCCGAGGCACCCGAGGGGGGTAAACCTCAAAAATGTTGAAAAAAAATTGTGAAAAATGGTCAAAACCATGAAAAGTGATAAGGAGGAAAGATAACGCAGTGACGGTTCCCCAAAAAACGCCTCGACGCATGTATTTATGCCTGTATATAGCGATACCTACACGGTACCTACTCTCGTTTCCGCGACGCCTCTCCTCCCCGGGACTCGTCTGTGGAAAAGTAGGGCCGCACACCGGCTATAAATTTAGCGGGGAACTCGAATAAGTCGTCGACGGGGAGGGTGATACGACCGAAAGGGGCTGAAACTCGAATTTTCGAAAAAAACGGCAAATGGAGCAGTCATATAGTCGTACTATTTTTTAATATAGTTTATTAATATCGTATTA